CGTCTGGCGAGAAGGCCACGGCGATGACCGCGGCCGAATGGCCCTCGAGCGTCTGCTTTACTTCGCCCGAGCTGGCGTCCCATAGCCTGACCGTCTTGTCGCCAGAGGCCGACGCCAGTAGCTTACCGTCTGGCGAGAAGGCCACGGCGACGACCGCGTCCGAATGGCCCTCGAGCGTCTGCTTTACTACGCCCGAGCTGGCGTCCCATAGCCTGACCGTCGTATCGTCAGAGGCCGACGCCAGTAGCTTACCGTCTGGCGAGAAGGCCACGGCGATGACCGCGGCCGAATGGCCCTCGAGCGTCTGTAGTAACCCATCCCAATTATTCTCAACCTTTGGTAATCTTTGAATCCATCGATGCGCACAGTTGCTGAACTGCTTCTTCACTATGCTCTCCATCGGAGCAAATGCTAGCGCACTGCAATATGTCTGGAGTGGAGCCTGCTCGATCGCTGACCGGCTGTACAGGGTGAATCGTTTAGCATCATGGATAAACTCGGACAGTCGGGAACACTGTTGTGGCTAAGTCGTCTGTTAGCTTCATACGCGCTCTTTCTTACAGTTTGGCTTACCGTTGTCATGAGCTCTAACGTAACGATGGCATGAATTCCTTCCGCCACCTTCTCCATCCATCCAAGGGCCTCAAGCCAGTGAAGAAGATGCTTCTTCAAGAAGCAGTGGACCTGGTCATTGTCACGGAACTGACTGTCGCCCTTCTGAAGGTGCTGAATCCAGTAGCAGCATGCGTACTGCATTTCAGGGGGTAGATGTTGCTCCACTTGCTTGCTGTTAACCTCCGTTACAAGTGTACCTGGCCGGCTCGTATCGCATATCGCAACAAGCGCCTTCGGCCGAACGGTTCTATTTTCCTCCTTGAAACATTGGGACATAAGCTGGATGCATTTTGTAGCCAGGATAAGATGCGCTTGCTTTTCGTCCACCCAAAACTCTGCGCATCTCACCTCCTCGTAAAGGAAATCCCGGAATGAAGGGTGATGTAAACGGAGTGGGCGGCTTGAATCCTTTGGAATGTCGAGAATCGCGTGGAGATCATGCAGTGTCTGATCGATTTCATCTTGAGGGGCGCCGAGTAGCTTAGTCAAAGACTGGGTAGAAAGCGGAGAGAGCAGAGTCACAATGTTTCCAAGCAAGCTTTTGAGTGTAGATTGTTGCTCTTCTCCCTCTTCATCCGGATACTCTGAAATGCAGTGACGAAGAACAGCGATATACATTTCGTTCAAATGCTTCTCTGGCGCGTTGACCGTAGAGCTGCTGTGCTCCAAGATCCGATCAAGTCTCTTTGCTGCAAACCTCTTCCCTTCGCGGATGAAGCGGTATGCAGTTGCTGCCCAGATAAATAGACCGCTTGCATTCTGGACAAGGCGCTTGATGATCTCCTCTCCTGGCCAGCCAGCGCCGAGGGAGCGTTCCTGAGCGATAAGTTTGAGGTTGTGTTCCAGGAAAATACGGATGTCGTGGTTGACAACCGACTGCGATATACTGTGCAGAATAAACTCCTGGTGTTCGGAATTGAGCATTTGGACAAAGCCGTTCCTGATTGGAACCTCAGGTCTGCTGGTCAAGAACACTCGAAGCTGAACCCCCTCCAATGCCTGAGCTTCGGCTAAGAGTTGTAGAATGGTCCGGACGTTTTCCTCATCCTCGCACTCGTCGAGAGCGTCAATCACAAGAATATATCGGAACGGGTGGCTGTCGCCTGGCAGCACCGAGAGTGGTCCGATAACGAGATGGCGCCACTGGTCGCGGAGCGACTGACCGGCAATGTCTCCATGGTTGACAACAGAGTCGCAAATGGAATGCTTCAGACCTGGCACTTTGTACGCAAGTTGCACTGCAATACTTGTGACGAACTTGGCTGCATAACCAACATCCCCGCCGCCTCTTGAGAAGAAGAAGCTTGCTCCAAGGGCCTCCTTCTCAGAGTATCTGGCGGCAACAGTTCGCGCAATGGTAGACTTGCCAGTGCCGGCCAGACCACTCAGCCAGAAGATGCTGGGCGAATTTTCTCTATCAGCCCAATCGTATATCTTTCGGAGGAGATCGATGCGGGTTTCAGGAAGGCAGGTCGGTTCGTGTTGTCGCCTATACGCGTTGAACGGCGCGTCTGCGGCGATAGGGAGGGAATTGAGCACATTATTCAGGTCTAGACGACAGATTAGTTTCTCCTAGCGAGCAAAACTCAATGTACACTCGCTTTCGTTGTTTCCCAGATACACTGGTCCGTGGAAGGTACCCACTGCGGCCCGAGAATGGTTGTTGATGGACACGCCGCTGATGTCTTGAGTTTGAGTGCTGTCCGCCATCGGCTTCGGAGCGGCAGAGCAACACCAGGGCCTTGCTAGTTAGAGTAAGGGTCAGCGCTAGTAGCAATCCCGTCACGATGCGGTGCGGCGCGGTGCGGTGCGTCAAGAAGGCCTGGATTGTTCAGTAGTAAACTGTAATTCTCTGATGCTGTTCAAATCAACAAGAAAATGCCACAGTGAGTGGCAGTCTTGAGATGTGATGTGCACGATTATTCGTTGCAACCCCGCAGCCCCCCACCTCGAATACAGCCCGGCTGCTTCCCTCGACTGCCGCCTTTCTCTGCTCCGTTCAGAACTTCCTTCGTCGACTGTCATCTGCCAAGGGACGTCTCGTTTTTCTGTTACCATTCATCTGGTTTTTTTAGTGGCTGTCATTCGCCAATCCGCGAGACCGAAACCCGGAACTCATGGATCCCCTTAGTGTTACGGCAAGCACTATTGGCATCACGCAGTTTGCCATGTCTAGCATCGTCCAACTCCATGATTTTATCGACAATCTCGCCGAAGCTAAAGAAGTGGTCCAAGATATTGCTACAAACCTAGAGGGCGTCCAGCGTCCGTTAGCCGCTCTGAAGGAACTCACCACTTCAGACCAGGAGACTTATGCCGCAGCCAAAGCCGATCTGGAGAAAACTGGTGTCGGCGAGGCCGTGAACAAGTGCGGCGAGGCATGCGCCAACTTTATGGACAACCTGAAGAAATGGACGAAAAATTCCAGCGACATGAAATTTTCACTCAGAGATCGCTTTTCAGTCGGAATATGGAATAGAGAGAAGATCCGGACATTCCGAATGCAACTTCAGTCTTGCCAGGCTACGGTCCAATTCGCCATTGAAAGTACCCAGCTGTAGGCGGGCCTTTATATCCCACGCTCGCGGATGTGTGCTGACGCTCGAGAAAGAATCGTTCAACTCCGCTCTGAATATAAGTTGCAGACCGATGGCGAGAAAATGAGGACGAAATTACAGGCTCTCGAGGCCAAAATCCAGGAGCATATAGATCTCACCAAGAATCAGCAAGATGAAGCACAAAGGCGTAGGCAGGAGCTACAGAGGGAGCCAGCCGACGAAGAAGATGGTGGTGCACAGCGGACTCTCGCTCTTCAGGAGGTTGAAAAGCAGTCGCGCTTACTAGAGGCTGACCGCGTTTCCTCTGCAGTGGTGTTCTCCCAGGTGCGATCCGGACGGACGGGTCAGGATATTGGTAACGTCATGACTTCCGATGATTCAAGGGCCTTGGTAGGACTGCCGGAGAGTGTCGTTGGAAAAGTCAACCAGCGGATCAAAGACGTAACGACGCAGAAAAACTCCGCTGCAGCTGTAGGCGTTTTCGATAAGACTGTCGACATGAGAGGCTTCTTCAACAGGCCATCGTAGCTACACTAGTTACCAAGACCTTGCATGTGGAGAGGAGCGTATTGCCTAAAAATGGTTATGATTGACAGCCTTTGACACCCAGTACAACGCCGAGCAAAGTGGTTTCTTGGTACAAGGGACGTCCATTGCGCCAACAGAGGATGGAATGTTGTAGTTGCTCGAGTGAATCTTACCAGGCCATACGGTAGCATGAAATGCTGGGGTAATATCTGCTCGCTGATGATTCGTAGTTAGATTACTGGGAACTATATCATAGCGCAGCCCACTTATACCCCTAGCTTTGCCGAGACAAAGTTACCATATGTCAGCAAAGGGGAGGCTGGTTTCGGGAACGGCTGTAATCGATCAATCGATTGATGAGTCGTCAACATCCTTCCTCCGTCGTTGTCACCCCTATCTCCTCCATGCGCCATGCCCATTTCCCCCTTGTCTCCCCGTGACTCCCTGACTCGGTCCGGTGGGAATGAACGAGCATTGTATTACGACTACCGACTCCTCGCTACAGGGTACTCCATATTATAGTGGGTACCGCATGTTCCACACACCCGCATGCTGGCAAACATGCATACGTGCGTAGAACTGGACTCCGTGCCAATGCAATCCCAATGTACGAGGGTCCATACGTATGTATGTAGATCCTCCGGTCGCCGTCATCACCGTGGTCCTCATCATCATCATGACTGTCATCGCCATCCGTCCTCCATCCGCCTGCTGCAGGGAGGTAAATCTTTTCCCCTGAAAACCCGGTGGATAAAAATCTGCCGGGATACCCGAATCGGAGCACCAAAGGATCACGGCGAAGGTATTGCCGTTTTCGCTCGCTGGGCAGTGTTAGGTAATCGTGCTCGTCCTCACCCTCAGCCTTGTGTTAGGGGGTAGCGGTCGCGGTCCGCACCTTGGGATCCGGTTGTTGTAGTGGTTGCCCCCCCGGCACTTCCTACCTGGCCTTGTGAATGGACAGCGGTGTGGCGGTGTTGTGTGGCGCGGGGTTTGTCTGTTCCTGAGTATCAAAGTCCGAGAGTCCTTGTCTGGTGTTTGGCGGCCCCTTGTCCCTTCACCCTCGATCTCGCTTCTCCCCGCCGGATGAGGTGTTTTCCACACCTCGTCCTCATCGGTGTTATACGGCGTTCTGATTCCCTTCGATTCCTTCTCATTCGAATCCCATGGTCTAGATCTTTGCAACAAGAAAACCAAAAATCCGCTCCGTCGTTGTTGCCCTAACCCTTACCCTTGCTTCTCGCCCTTTTGGCCTGTTGCTGCTGACACTGTTGGAGGATCATTTACCATCTTATGCTTATCGGCGCAGTAGCCTGGCTCCTCCATCACCACTAGAATCGTTGCCCGCTTAACGCCGAGCCATCGAACGGCGGGGGCGGGAAGTGGGGGATGTATCCCCTTTGAGGAAGTCTTCTGGATCGATGTGCTTTGTACAGCATCTACCCATGTACACCTCCTTGGTTCTTCGTCAATCCCGGGCGATGCACGCCGCACCTGTCTAGGGCTGTGGGAACAGGGACGGTGGGACAGGCACGATCCCGTCAGCTGAAGTGATACGGAACGTCTGAACCACTAGGGGCCCTTGGTAGGGCCTTGGGACCAGTACATCCACATGCACCGGTACTTGTGTGTACAGAAGAGCTCTTGGACAACTCCAACCACGACACAGCCGTGAAGCTCATGGAGAGAGGGAGCCTCGGTTGTTTGGTCGCAGCCACTACCAGCCCCTCTCAGGGACCCCGTCAGCACCTCTATTCCTCCACCGGTTCCTAGATTTGTGCCCGTTCTAGCGAGTTTCGGCGATAACGCCTGTTGCGAGAGATCTCCATGGCCCCGAAGGGTCGAGTACGCGGCACCGTTTTTCGCTTCCCAGCCCTGGGCCTCCTGTGATGGAAGGCGCAGGTACCGAGGGCTTGTCCACATTCGTTTCTCCTTCATAGCACCCCAATCGATTCATTGTCTGCGCTTTCGCTTGCCACCTCCGTGAGCCGCGGCTTTCTTCATTAATCAGAACACCAGCGTTCGCTTGATGCTCGACGCTCTAATATCCGTTTGGGATGCTATGTTCTGACGCAGGACCGGGCTCTCATGTCGCCGTTCTTCGTTCTCTTAATGTCCCCGGTTCTCGTGAACGGTTGGTTGTGGCAAAGACGGGTCAGTGCCGACGTGTTGAGCTGCTACTAGCTCGAGATCTCGCCTCATTCTTCTGATTTCCCTGAAATGCCTGTCTGGGTTGAAGTCGACTCCAATCTCGGTTTGGAAAGCGACTTCTTGCGGAAGTCGGAGGCTCCTTGTCTGGCTTTGTCTGGCTGTCGCATAGCAGTGAATGGGTTGACGTAAGTAACGGATGCAGTCACCAAGCCTTCTGTCATTGTCGGTCGGCACCTTACAGGATCCGCTACGAGCCTGGATGGCCCAGGCTCCATTCACGAACGAATTGTAGCCACGTCTCTGAATGCGGAAGCATGGCGCAGCCTCGAAGGGTCCCAAAGTGTGCCAGGGCAAGTCTGGCGAGGCTGACGAGGCTGGCGTCCCCTAGGTCCTCCGCCCCCAACACTCCGCACGACACATAGAATTCAATCCTAGGTAGGTAACTAGTAGCTCTTTCATTGTGCTTCACCTTCATTCTGAATGTTTAGCGCGTCGCTGGTGTCGCGCGGTTTTTTTCGTTCTCCGCAAGCACAAGACGAATTGTGACCGTCAGTATCAGACGGCAGAGGCGCGAGCTCCTCGTTGCGATGGCTTCTCCTCGTCGCATAACGTACGGCTCTCCGCCAAATGAGGCAGGTTTGACTCTTCTCACGGATTCACTCGCAGCATCCTCTTTGTCCTCTACCACACCACGAGAGCAAAATGTGCCTCCTCTTGTGGATGAGACAGACAAAGCTCGGATGCGCATTCGCGTTCTCTTAGGCGGCCGAGATATTGGTCCCTCAGACAAGCCCGAGGAATTTGTGATACCTGTATCCTCGTTTCACGAGCTGCTCAACGATCCGGAGGCGCAGTCGGACTTGGAAAGGCGAGTTCTTCCTTGTGTGATCTCTCACTGTCTACTAACACTACGCGCACCTAGACTTAAGCGGAAAATCTCATATGACGCCCGCAAGTCAATCTTCACTATCTTCCCAATGACTGGCCAAATTCACGCCTCCGTTCTCGACTGGCTCGCTGTGGCCGCGAATCGCTCCCGTTACTCCATAGCTCCCTCAGCAAACGGACGGCCTCGTTTCGCCAATAACGCCAATTTCAATGATTTTGAAGGAGAATGGTCAGGTTCACTCCAAGCTCCGGACTTTGCCGTCTTTTGGAAAGACAATACCAGAAACCCTCTCCTGCACACCATTGTCGAAGTTGGTTGTTCCCAATCTCGAGACGCCCTACTCGGACTCCGAGACGCCTACATGAATGGAATACCCTGCCTCTCCAGATTCATCGGTATTAGCGTCATCGAGACACCCCCATACGCAAGCCCGATAAATATCGATATCGACGGCGTGAAGGAGTTTGATATGGCAGCCGTTCGATTCGATTCACCTCAGGGGCCATTCTGGTACAAGGAGGTTCAGTGGGTCGGGAAAATCACCCTTTCCTAGGAGGTTTGGGAGCGAGATCCGACAACCCGGGAACCAAAACGGATATTTGCGGCCAATATCGGTCCTGATACTGATATCAGCGAAATTCGCATTCCATTCTTCGAGATACCCGCGACGATCGCCCCCAATGCCGAGCCTGTTACCATCAAGCCGGCGGACATGCACGACTTTTGGCGCCACGATCTCGATTTTGGGATCACGCTGGAGGCGAGGGTGCGGATGAACAAATGCGTGAAGTCAGTGAAGGAACAGAGAGAGGATGCAGCAAATATCGCCAAAGAGGATCTTCTCGCACGGAACAAGAGACAGAAGGACAATGAGGAGCGCACAAAGCGATGGAGGAATCGGCACCGAGGTTGAGTCGTCAGCCCACCAGTGTCTGGATCTCGCATCGCGTTCAACCATGGTGTCTACATAAGTGTCCACATTGTCGAAGAAAAGTGGCTCGACATTCAATTCTACCGGTGGCGTCCTCAGAGCGCGAAACGTTTGTTGGATGTCATCTTCCTCAATGTTCGTTACCAATAAGTGGAGTTTCTCGAGTTGAGCCTCAACAAGCTTGGAGATGACTTGGAGCAAGTCGTAGCAGAGGTTTACCATCCTATGAGCTGGAAATTCATCAACGACGTCTAAAAATGATGTAAATATCTTTGTCTATCCCAGAGATCGTTTCCCTCGTGGTTTCGTAGAGTTCATCGACCTTAGCATAGGAGTCCGAAAGCTCATGCCGTTCTGCGAGCTTGCGTATGGGCGGCGGAAAAATATCCGCAGCGGGAGCTCAACTTCGTCGAGTACCACAAGGAATTTAACACCGGTGGAAGGGCGGGATGAGGCCCCGCGCCCCTGCAACGACCAGATATTCTAGAGCGCGCCACAACCAAATGAGCCGGTTGGCCGGGCGGGGAGCGTGTCAATGCTTCGGGTAATATCCTCTCTTTCTAGTTTCGTTCTGGACTGATTAGAACCGGCGGTGTGGGTTTCGCAGGTAAGCTTTGCCGTCGTTGAAACAGGATTACTGTGGGCGATATCGATCTAGTCTACCCGCAACTATCACCTCGTATCCAGCGGAATCGAGTATTGCACCAACTTGCTTAGACACCTTACGGGCTCTCTGTGGCGCCTACGTAATCACGGCCACATGGAACCTTACAGCCTCAGCACCCTCCAAGGTGGGCACGCAATACAGTCGTCCACAATCAGCCGTTCGCCCAAACGTGGAACCTCTATTTGCCGTATTAAAAATGGGAGCACCCCCCACTTTTTCCCCATGTGGAAGGCAGCATCCAGATTCATATCTTATTATCCGGGGACCCCAAGGTGCCCTGAATCTGCGGGGTACTGAATGGAGCCTTTTGCCTATAGTTCTCCGTGTCTCAAGCGGCAGTTCACACCACCAGTGGTGTGCAGACAGGCAATACTGGCGACAACAATTTACCCGGGATGATATCAACGGGTTGCGATTCCCACAGCAGTGGACGGACTGGCC